AGTGCTCTTTTAAGGCATCCAAAAATGCAAAAATCCATCGGGGCTAAATCAGGAGATTTTACAGGGGTTCTGTTCTTTGGAATAGTGTTGATTCCTGTTCTTTGTCTTAGATATTCCAAATAAGCTTGGGTTGAAGATGAGGTATGACTTGTGGCGTTATCATGGTGAAACCAGACTTTGTTGCTCTGTTTTCCATAGATAGAGGGAATATCATTTAAAAATATAGGTTCTAAAATGTTGTTTTGATAATAATCCGAGTTTATTTTGGCATTTCTTTCAACTTTTCTTATTTTTAATTTTCCTTCATATGATATACCGCATGCCACCATAAATCCTTTGGGTTAACTTTCGGCACATTCCTTCAACCAAATTGGCCTAGATTTTTCCACCCTTTTTTGATAGTATATAGCTATTTTTCTGTCGCAATCGGTTAAATATACCCATGCTTCGTCATATGTAACAATAAATTTCCATCTATCAGCAGCCAAGAAATTTTCATAAAAATATCTGCTGATAGTGTGTCGCTGACGAATATGATTCTGAAACAATTTGTGAGAACCGCAAGTTTTTTTAGCTTTTTGGCCTAAATCTTTATTTATTATTTTATTTATTGTTGACACTGATGTTCCTATTAATTTGGCTATATCTCTTTATGGCATAGGATTTTCTTTTGTAATATATTTTTTCACTTTTTTTACAGTTGCAGGAGTTCTCACAGATATAGGGTGATAATCTTTTGTCCATTTCTCCGTAGGTGCATTGAATAAAACTTGATATTTTTGTCGTGAATAATATTATAAATACCTTTTTTAGAAATGTTGATATCATCTTGTTTGCATATTTTAATTATGTCCAAATAGGTAAGATTAGCTCTGGAAAGTCCTAAAATATAACCTCTTATGAAATTATTGTATTTGAAGGGCATTTTTTTTATTTTTTTAAAAATTTATTGCGTGTAAGAATTAGCTTAAGCCTTTTAGAATCCACGTTGTTGAATTTTTAAAATAAAGTAATAGTTCCTTTTTTACACCGAGCGCTCGTTTCCTATAAGTGCGAACACCCTCTGTATTTTGCAGCTCTTTGTTTTGGGTTATGGGAATAATAAATGCTGTCCTAACATCTTGACTCTTTTTTTTCTGTGAACAGTATTTTTATCTTTTTGTTTGTCATTTGCCCACATCTTATATTATGTCGTGCAGGCCAAAGTGTTATAACTTCTCGAAAAAAACTGGTATACACAATTTTACCCCTTATGTTTAGTTTATCGCTTTTCGCTCATTAGAAGAAATAGCATAAGGAATATTCTCTGTATCCCCCTCCCCCCCCCCAACTTTAGAAATTTTGCGCAAAAATAATACAAAATTATTTTATTACCACGTTTTTCAACGCAAAAGGTCGATTTGAAAATGTTTTTTTTTTTTTGAGGGGATACATTTTCAAAATTATAAACAGTATAATAAACAATGATAAAATTTGAAAAACCCATAGGATATTTGGAATAAAGTACGACAAATATATTTTGTCACTCCCCTCTATATTTCATTTGTTGGATCATGAAAAATATCCAGTTAAATAGTCAAGTGTCGCCAATTAGTCAAGAAACTATGCAATTCTTTTAGCACGAAATCCTATTAGTAGTGCCATCATAATTTTTGGTACTATATTAACATTTCAAAAATCGTGTAGTTATTGTAGTTATTTTCAAATATTCAATCTATTTCACAAAACTCCATCTAAAATATGAATATTTTTTGCTACATGTTTTAATTTGCATATACCTATTTTACATATCTCAGATTGTATTTAAAAATCGTTAACCATTTCTTCTAACTTTTGGCGAAATGGTGTTTTATTAATTTATCATTTCATATTATTAGGGTTCTTTCCTGGTATTCAAAAAGGAAAAATACATGTCGTTCAGTTATATTTTTCAATTTATCAAACAATTTGGCCGCTGAATCTCTGATTCTGGTAGAGCGCCATCTCTAGCGAATAAAGTTGTAACTAAAATCAATTTCGAATTTTTCATTATTTGCCATAAATATACCATTGCATTCTGAACACAATGGTGTTTACCGCATTGCTCTAGCTCAAATATTCGCGGAGTTATTAATTTTTAAAGTTGTGCGGGACTTTTGGATCACCCTGTATTTTAACCAGCGCCATATCAAGTCGAATGGTTGCTCTGTCCCTATATAACTTTTACAAAACACTAAGTAGGAAAAATAACTTAGGTACATCGTTGTCTCCTCCACTACATGATGGTGATTGATCATTGTGAGGATATCGTGTTAAGCGGGCAATGAGAGAGGAGAATCTGACTGTTGTCTTAATATATATATTTATAGATGGAAAATTTGCCGGGAGGAAATTAATCCATGGAAGCAATGGTCGCCTCTCCCGTCAAAATAAACGTCAGAATCTGACGCCATCTATTGACCGTCGCCGCAACTAGCCGCATCGGGTCGGTGACAAAGCCACAACACCAACTTTGGCTAACTGATAAGCGTCCACCTAGAGACCTAGAGATCTCATGGAATAAAGTCCGCCCTAGACTGACGAGGGCCATTAGCCCGAAACCATGGTCTCTAGGTGGACGCTTATTAGTTTGCCAAAGTTGGTGTTGTGGCTTTGTCACCGACCTGATGCCGCTAGTTGCGGCGACGGCCAATAGATGGCGTCAGATTCTGACGTTTATTTTGACGGGAGAGGCGACCATTGCTTCCATATATATTTATATGTTATGATGCATTAGCGCGCCATCTGTTATCAAAATACGAAACTATTTTAGACGCGTATGATTCTTTTAAAAATAAACAATTTCTACTGCCCTTAGCCAGGCCCTTCCATTAATTTTTCCATTGCAGTAAGGGCAGTAGAAATTGTTTTATTTTTAAAAGAATCATACGCGTCTAAAATAGTTTCGTATTTTGATATATATTTATATGTACCAAAAGAGAACCTGTTTCGTTAAAAATTCATTGAAACAATATGCATTTTGATTCATTACCTCAGTACAGAACGCTATAGTGCTGATAAAGAATAGGTCACAACACCAATTTTAGCAAATTCAAACAAATTCCAACCTATAAAATAAAAGGATTTAAAAGCGCGAATGTTTCTTTTATAATAATACAAACTTCTACTGTCCTTACTGCGGTGAAAAAATATATTGGGAGGGCTTGGCTCATCAGTGGTGAACCCTCCCAGCGGTTTCGCCAATTTAATTCACCAGACCGCTTCTGGCGAAACCGCTGGGAGGGTTCACCACTGATGAGCCAAGCCCTCCCAATATATTTTTTCATCGCAGTATGGACAGTAGAAGTTTGTATTATTATAAAAGAAACATTCGCGCTTTTAAATCCTTTTATTTTATATGTATAGATGGCGCGTTATTGCTTTGTATTAAATTCCAACCTGTATACTATGGTTTCGGGATATGGCCTTTGTCAGTACATGGGCGGCTTTAATTTCATAACATCCTACAGTAAGAAGGAGTTATGAAATCGGTAGAATTTCTCAAACCTGGTGTTGTGGCTTCATCATTACCTTAATATTCTATGTTGGGGTTATGAACCAAAATGTATTGTTTTTATTGTTTTTTAACAGGAGAGGTGCCTTTTTTGGTACACAAATACCACATCCTCCCGCACATCTATAAATTATATTGTCACACTGAAAAAAATAGACACGAGGAGAGGTAAACCAACCAAACTTTATTCTCTCTAACTGTCTACCTTAAAATTGTAACTACACGCATTTATGTATCTACTAGACGAATGACCCGGGCAACGCCTGGGTTTACACGATTAAATGTATATTACATATGGAAGATGGACGTAGTTCCTGGAGGTCACCCGCGAGGCTTTTTCTTGACAGCTGTGTCACCAACTCTGCCCCCGCGCGCCAGGACCTCTTGATCCCTCTGATTGGTCGGTGGGAACTTAGACTGTCCAACCGGCCGGCAGCCGGACGATTACATTTTCTCGACGGGGGGGGGGGGGGGGCAGGGGGCAGGGAAGTCACGTGCTCGCCGGCAGCCAACGGACGCGCGCCGCCGGCAGATCGCCACGCGTTCTAGAGGGCGCTGCTCGTGAGCTAAGTAGAATAATTTGAATATATAGTTTTAATAATTGATTTATATATTTTTTAAAATAGCCTATCGTCATCCCCGTTATTTTTACCTATGTATGGAAATTTTGGTTTGAATTAGTGAACTACTGCGAATTTGTATACAGGTCATACAAACCAGCAGACAAACAGACAAACATTCATTTATATATATATAGATATGACATAATAAAAACTTATGTAAATTTATATAATATAAAAATTATGCAAATTAATAAACCACCCTACAATATATCTATATTAATAAAATGAAAATTTCATAAGTGGACATCACTAAAAACTTTCGTTACAATGCATCAATTTCGACCAAATTTTCAACATTTATGTAAAACGAGATGGAGCAGGTTTTGCTTAACATCAAAATATTTTTCCTAACTTTAACATACATAACTTTGCTGTTATCGATAAAATACAAAAAAAATTCAACAGAGTTAAAGTGTTTACACTTTCAAAAGTGTTTACACTTTTGCGCTTCTTGGAATATTTGTTTTAATCTTTTTTATATATATTTTAATAACTTTTATACATGGTAAGATACTTTTATTTTATAGTTTTCATATTTTATACCGAAAAAAGTCGAAGCCTTACTTGATGAGATCAATTTTATTTTTTAGATAAATTTTTAGGGTTTTCAAAAGTGTTTACACTTTTACGCTTCTTGGAAAATTAGTTTTAATCTTTTTTTTTTATATTATAAAGGACTGCGGCGAGTGATTATAAACAATACTTAAAGTTACACCGCATAAGTTTCTTTTTTGTGAAAAATCAATATTTATTTCAAAGAGAAATATTTACTATTTCTATCTTTTTTGAATGAAGTATGAGAGGGTGAAAATATGAAGAGTAATGGCGAACGGAAAAATAAAAGTGTCCAGGGGCGGGAATCGAACCCACAACCTTCTGCTTACCGGGCAGGTGCCATGTCCACTAGGCTACCCTGGTAGGGGTTCCGTTCGTAAATAATATTTGAAGTAACTTATAATACATTATAAAGGACTGCGGCGAGTGATTATAAACAATACTTAAAGTTACACCAGCAGTCCTTTATAATGTATTATAATCTTTTTTATATATATTTTAATAACTTTTATACATGGTAAGATACTTTTATTTTATAGTTTTCATATTTTATACCAAAAAAGTTGAAGCCTTACTTGATGAGATCAATTTTATATTTTAGATAAATTTTTAGGCTAATTTTAATTTATTTCTTTTTTATTTTATATACAGATTATATATGCTATTTCTAACATATGTGGTTAGTATTTTTATAATATATGTAATATATTTAAGAGTTATTGTCTGAATACAGATATATATGTGCCAAAAGGTACAACTTCCTTAAGTTTTGTGCATGATTGTAAATAGCGTATTATATGTAAATATAATATGATGCATTAGCGCGCCATTTTTTTTAAATGAGAAATTGAAACTATTTAAGACGTGTATGATTCTTAATTAAAATAAAAGATATATAATTAATAGATAATTAAGAATCATACGCGTCTATTATAGCTTCAATTTCTTATATGTAAATATTATGATGCATTAGCGCGCCATTATGAAAATTCGAAACTATTATAGACGCGTATGATTTTTTTAAAAATCAAACAATTCTACTCCCCTTAATTTTTCCATTGCAGGAAGGACAGTAGAAATTGTTTAATTTTTAAAATAATAATACGCGTCTATAATAGTTTCAATTTCTCATTTGTAAATACTGTATATTAAATATTTTGTCTCTATATCTTCGATTTCTGGATTACGAAATTAATCCACGTTTATGGTGCCTCTATATTTCCTAACAAAAGATTCAGTGGATGCTATTGAAGTAAAGGAACAAACAGAAACTATGGGTTTTCCAAGGATGATAAGTTTCCTTTGTTGAGAGAGGACATTGCTCAACCGCTCTGATAAAAGGCTCTTAGAAGACTTAGGACCATGTGTCACACCATGACGCTTACCTATTCCTGCGAAATCCAACGATAAAAGCGATTTTATTTTTGGTCAAATTTATATCATTTCCTGGAAGTCTGCTGAGTGTTCTTATCTGCTTCCTTTTTCCCGTGATGTGTCTAGCATTTCTTATAAACAGGTGTTATGTAATTTAACTAATTGGCATATATTGCTAATATTTGCTGTATATTTTTGAAGAATAAAGTAGAGAAAGTTTAGAGAATATCCACTCATAGACAGAATTTAATAAAGTGGAAAGTATTTGTTTTCGCCAGTAGTCTGTTTTTTTTTTTTTTTAGGAGACAGAGGTAATTATGTTCACACTTGATTATCCAGTGTGTTCAATAAAGGTCACTGTAATATCTTTCAGAGTTATTATCTGAATCCCAATATACATGCTAAAAGGTACAACTTCCTTAAGTTTTGTCCATAAGTGTGGTTAAAAATAAGAAAAAAAGGCCAAAAAAAACAGTGTTTTTTTATGTCTCGCTACCAAGACGGTGTAAGGATTATTCCCTGTTTATTTCTTGATATTCTTTACATTATGAAAAAAAGTACCAAAGTTAAATTGTGCTGATATCCGGTAGATAAATTAAGAAAAAAATGCATCTTCTGATCGTGCAACTAAAAGTTGCTGATGACTTGCTCCATCTATCGGAATAAATATCAACTAATCGTTATTTTTAATTATTTCATAAAACCTCGCTGAATTTCCGTAATATGGCTCTGGTTAGACTGACTCAGTATTGATTTTTACGATATCCCAATCGTTGCCTCTTCCCAATGTATCACAAAGTGGCGTTCTATTATTAAAGCTTTACAGTGAAACTCCCATAAGCGTCTCATATAATAAGCATTCACCTCCCTAAGCGGCCACTTTTGTAAAGTCAAAAAAATACCTGACCTAAACTGATTGACCCAAATTCCAATGAAAGACTACCTCCACGAGAGACCAGGTGCATCAATACTTTAGCGGTCGCCTATAGAAATTTCGACAGTATCATTCGAGGTCACACCAAGTCCATTCCATCAACATAAATTAGTCATGAACTATGGTACATACATGTGGTACGTATAGGGTGAGAGGATGTTCATAATACCAACCATAATTATCATGCCCAGCACCACGTATACCCTATATGCTAGGTAAAAAATGTTATTGAGGTATAGTGGTGAGACTAAATACACTCATGGAGACAAAACGTAAGGAAGTTGTATCTTTTAGCATGTATATCGGGATTCAGACAATAACTCTGAAATATATTACAGTGACCTTTATTGAAGACATATGAGATAATTGATAAGGCACAATTTGGATTATAGATTATAAACACAAGGTAATAAGACCAAATCCAAATAAATAAATAATGTGTGACGTTTCGGTAACAACGCTGTTACTGAAACGTCACACACTATTTATTTATTTGGATTTGGTCTTATTACCTTGTGTACATATGAGATAACTAATTGTAAACAAAATTGCCTCATTCCCTTTTAAAAAAATAGACGACTGACGACATCAAACACATTACTCTTCCATGAGTGTACAAGGCACAAAAATAATTGTTGTCAATTCAGCATGGAGGAAATTGCATTATAAGGATATCAGCTTTCTATTTAAAAAAGTGGCAATTTAACCTCTAAAAGAGTGGCAATTTTTTTTATAAAAACAAAGGCTATAGTTATCTCCAAAAGAGAAGAAAAACATCACCGTCTCTCGACAATCTATCAGACTTTGGTCGGCGACAACACCACCTGGAGACCCTGGTGGCTCTCTCGTGCCAATGACCCCCTCGTCAGTACAGATCAGCTTTGATCCTATGAGATCCACTCAGGGCAAATCTCCAGAATTAACCTAAGTCTGGGGTCCTGGTTGAAATCCTGACAGACCAAAATCCCGACAACTATGAATCCCGACAGGGTTAAAATCCCGACAACTATAAATCCCGACAATGGCAGAATCCCGACAGGGTTAAAATTCCGACAAGGTCAAAATCACGACAACTATAAATCCCGACAGGGTCAAAATCCCGACAACTCTAATATCCCGACAGGGTCAAAATCCCGACAGCCCTAATATCCCGACAGGGTCAAAATCTCGACTGATTAAAATCCCGACAGGGTTAAAATTCCGACAACTATAAATCCCGACAATGGCAAACTCCCGACAGGGTCAAAATCCTGACAACACTAAAATCCCGACAGGGTCAAAATCCCGACAAGGTCAAAATCTCGACCGATTAAAATCCCGACAGGGTTAAAATCCCGACAACTATAAATCCAGACAATGGCAGAATCCCGACAGGGTCAAAATCCTGAAAACCCTAAAATCCCGACAGACTAAAATTAGGACAAGGTTAAAATCCCGACAGGGTAAAAAAAAAATCCCGATAATTTAAATTAGCAGAAAATAAATCTTTCGTTTATATATTTTACTCCAAACATAGTGTTTACACATATTCAGATTTTTTTTTTTGTTAGATTTTGACCATGTCGGGATTACGTTTCTGTCGGGAATTTGTCCGCAATTCGCTCAGCTAACATGTTTCCTAAATCTGGGTGTGTGAAATATAAACACGATGCTATTATTATATTTTCAATCACCATTTATCGTTAAAATTTACAATAAATATTTTAATGCATTGATAATAATTATTAGATAAGAGACATTAGATCATTAGTGGTAAACCTTCTAATAATTTGTATCATTGCACTATAATTTGTGGTGGTGGTGTCTTGTCCTCCATGGAAAGGAGAGGTGTCATTGCCCCGTTAATCAGCCACATTTCAGAGTTCCCTGTTCACGGTTACCGTAGCGGCTCACGACACCGTACTTCGCTCTACAGGGAAAGTATAGTCTGTAGAAATAATATTTGATATAAATTCAATGTGTTTTATTATTTCTGTAGTTGAAAGATGGCGTCACTAGATGTAAATATTGACATTTGGCCTTTCCTCAAATTGTCTTTCATTTTTTTCTCCAGCATGTTTCTTAGGAAGTTATGGATGTAATACAAGTTTGAGGTCTATCTTACATGAGGTGTTGAAAGAACAAGTTAGTGTGTGGTTAATTATATGTTGATGTGGCAACCAATGATAACCAAATTATTGATAATAACCCCAGAATAAGTATATTGCTACGGCGTTTTATGGTTTCCACAAGTCCATTTCTCAGAAGAAGGCCAAGTGACACTCACTCCTCACTTTCTTACTGCTACTCTTTTTGCGTTGTTTTTCTTGCTTCCCTCATTCTCTTTCTTGTTTTTTTTCTTTTTACTCTGTATATATCGTTGTTTCCTTTGTCTCACTGCTTTGTTCTTATGCATACCTCTGGTGAATCCTGTATAGGGTCAGTGACCCTAAATAAAGGCTTTTTGTTGTTGTTGTAGATAATAACACCGACCTAAAAAACAAGCAATATTTCAATTCTTCAGTGGTAATGTAGTATGAGGGTGTTCTCCTGGTGTCTTCAATGTGTCCTTCAATTGATCTCTTTAGTAAGCTATCATGTCATAGCACGTGACCTAACATGTTTCACTTTTTTGTATTTTAAAGAAGCACACAGCATCAGTTATTTCCCGTTAGGTATAAATTCAGAGAAGGCTGAGAGCTTGTACTGTATGAAGTGGAGATTTTGTTGTAAGGCAATAACCTTGAAGAGAGTATCTTAAAGATTACTGGAAACCGCCCGACATTGATGAGTCCCAGATGGCCTTTGTGATGTAATAACCACTCAATCCATAACTCCTTCCCATGGCTGGTAACAGAAAACTATGTATTCGTTATAAACATCCCATAGACATGAAACCAGCGCTATCACATGTATCAACTATACATTTCCACGATAGTCATGGTAGGTTGTGGTATGTGGCTTCATATACTGTAAAGATACCATATGTCTACACATGTAGACATTCTCTGTGAATTCAATAACATGGCAATTAAACATGTTGGAGATGAAAACTCCATTATAACCAAAGGTCTAT